ATTTAACTGTTTTCATTACACATTGCTAACAAGCTGAACAACAGGCAGGAAATTTAAACTAAGAGAGCTAGAGATGTAGCTCAGTAGTAGAGCAAGCACCAGAACCTGGGTACCATACCTATCAATACAACCAAAAAAAGGAAAAAAAAAGGAGGCCAGGCATGATGGTGCTTGGGAGGGGACTTGGGAGGCTGAGGCAGAAGGATCAAAAGTTCAAAGTCAGGCTTACTCTTAAAGTTAAAATTTAAAAAAAAAAAAAAAAAGGTAGGGAGTGTGGAGAGCTGGGGATGTCACTCAGTGGAAAACTGCCCCTGGTTTCAATTCCCAGTAGCAAAGGAGGAAAAGAAAAGGCAAAAAGCCCAGGGTAAACTAGAGAACGCATGTTTTACCTAAAGGCATTCAGTTTCAAATAAATATTTCACTAAACAAAATATGTTTTTAACCAGATACTCAAACACCCTCATTTAGTGTGACCATGTCATTTACAGCCAAACAAGATACCTAGAAGAAAGGAGAAATAACACTCAACCAGGATGGTGCAGGCTCCTTCACAGTATTCACCTTACATGTGCAGTCATGTATTGCTTAATGGTGGGGATATGTTCTGAGAATATCAGTGTATACTTATAAAACTAAGACAGCCATAACTTCCTTGGATAATATAATCTTATGGGGCTACTATCAAAAAATATGGTTCAAGAATATCATCTGTCCTTTCTAAAATGTCATTATGCAGCACATAAATATATATATAAGCTGGAGCTTAAGCCTGCTTGTTTATATGTAAGTGAACTGGTCAAAGCCAAACAAATTAGCCTCAGAAGAACTAGAGAGGGGCTGAAGGTACAGTGCTAAGGTAGAAAGCACGCTTAACATGCTTGAAGCCCTGGGCTTAATAAATAGCACCAAAATAAATAAATAAATAAAAACAAAAGCAGTAACACTTTTTGCAGACTGAAGAAAGGCACACGTACGCTGACATAGTCTCCCAAACATTCATTCTTTCCCAATTATCTCAGACAGACAGGAACCAAAGCTTCAGAGCTTTATGTCCTCCAATATTCAAGCTAAGGAAACAGGGAGTGTCCAGAGCAGAAGCCTGGCTACTAACTGATTGAAGAAATTTGCCTGGCTCCAAGACCTATGTTCTTTGTATTATCCCACACAGCCACTAAAATTAAGCACTGAATTTCAGAAATACATATTTTTTTACTTTCTGCTTAAAAGAAAAGTTGCTAGCCCAACTGACTCTTTATTATGAAAGTAGAAAAAAAACAAGAGGTTTTAGAATTAAGTTTGAATCCTTATTTTACTTACAAGGCAACTGGCCAAATTAAATGAACCTCAATTTCTTCCTAGATAAATGAAAAATACTACCAGAGCTATAAAAACTAAAGCATGTGATACAATGCCTGGTAAAAAATAGGTTCTCAATAGGAAACTCCTATTATTTTTACCTCAAGGTATAATTCTATGTCCAATTCAAATGGGATACAAATTATTTTTAAAAGTGACTAATGAGGGCTGGGGATGTGGCTCAAGCGGTAGCACGCTCGCCTGGCATGCGTGCGGCCTGGGTTCGATCCTCAGCACCACATACAAACAAAGATGTTGTGTCCACTGAAAACTAAAAAAAATATTTTAAAAATCTCTCTCTAAAAAAAAAAAAACTGACTAATGAATATAGTGTGGTCATGGCCTTGGTAGAATTTATTAAAAAAAAAAAAAAGAAAATTTTCTGGATCCATCAGTTAACACCAAAATTATATATGAAATCAGGCAATGAAGGTAAGTGCAGGGCTGAGGCCATGGCTCACGGTAGAGCACACTAGATGGCAAAGCCCTTGGTTCAGTACCCAGCACTGGGGAAAAAACAAAGACACGGGGCGGGGGCTGGGGGGTTGCCACATGTTATAATGAAAAAGGAACTCAAACTACTCAATCATCAGTCTTAGGATAATTCCTTGAATAGCTAAACCGTAAAGTCACTGTGTTTTATTTCCTCACCATTTCCATGACTGGTCTCTCCACGTAGGTTTTAGAAGGGAGGGACTGTGTATCACACACTATACTCAAAATACCTAGAAGGGTACCACATCACATTACATACTGAAGTGCTCAATAAATATTTTCTTGAATTAAAATGTTGATATGGGGTTGGAGGTGGAGCTCAATGGTAGAGGTTTGCTTATCATACATGCAAGGGCCTAGGTTCCATCCCACACTGAAAAACAAATTGAGATGATCCCCTTAATGGCTTTTTTAACAAATAAAATAGCTCTTTCAAGCCAGATGGACAGATGCAGTGGCACGTGTCACCTGCAATACCAGCTACTATAGTCTCTGCTACTCAAGGAGCTGAAGCAGGAGAATTGCTTTAGCCCCAGAGTTGGAGGCCAGCCTGGACAACATAGCAAGACCCTGTCTCATTAAAAAAAAAAAAAAAAAAAATAGCTCTTCCAATAGAAGAAATCACTGTTTATAAGAAACACTGTTAGCAAACTAGACCAAATTCAAAATTGGAATTTTCTACCAAAGAAAATTTTTTAAAAATCAAAACATTGACAGAATGAGCACCAAAAAACAGGAAAGCACTCTCCATTCCATTTCTAAAAACAACTTACCTTATTGCACCTTTCTTTTGCAGATTTGAAATTCAGATTCTCTCACAATCACTGGCCTCTTCTGTTTGATTCAATAGCATACACACTAGAGTGTCTCTATCACTATTAAATACATCAGTAGAAAGGACACTTGTCTTATTCTGCTTTCTAACTAGGAAAACAGAAGTACAAAAGTCCTAACCCCAATTTTTTGTTTTTAATTGCAGAGCAGGGTGATGCACACCTGTAATCCAAGCTACTTGGAAGGCTGAGGCAGAAGGATGGCAAGTTCAAGGCCATCCTGGGCAACTTAGCAAGATCTTGTCTCAAAGTAAAAATAAAAAAAGGGCTGGGTGTATAGCTTGTTAGTAGAGCACCCATAGGTTCAATCCTCACTACATCCCCTCCCAAAAAAAAAAAAAAAAAAGGGTTAGATGTGTAACTGTGGTAGAGTGCTTGCCTAGCATGCATGAAGCCCTGGTTCATTTGCAGCACTGTCAAAAAAAAAAAAATTAAACAAGGCACGGTACTGCATGCCTGTAATCCCAGCAGCTAGGAAGGCAGGAAGATTCAAAGCTAGCCTCAGCAAAAGCCAGGCACTAAGCAACTCAGTGAGACCCTGTCTCTAAATAAAACACAACAGGGCTGGGGATGTGGCTCAGTCAAGTGCCCCTGAATTCAATCCTTGGTACCTCCCCACAAAAAAGTTAAGATTAAACAACATACAGAGCAACTGTAACTGCTCCTGTCTTTTCCCCAGAACATCATACTTCAATATAAATTTTAAATGTTTCTTTTTTTCCCCATACGGAAAAGGATTTCTGAAACTTGATGGGAGGGCAAGGAATTAAAAGTAAAACATACTAATAAGTCATTTCCAAACAGGTGAGACACCATTAGTGTGTGCTATTGCAGGAAACAGAATAGAGAGCAGTGAATGGGAGTCTCTGCACTTCATATCTGCAAAAGAAGAGAATAAAAAGGTTAACTAACTTAAAACAGGTTATCTCTTTTACTTGTTTAAAGCAGTGCCCATAAACATTTTAAATCAAAAGATGGCCTGGGGGAGTGGTGCAAGCCTGCAATCCCAGCCACTTGGGAAGCTGAGGCAGAAGGAAGGCAGGCTCAAAGTCAGCCTTAGCAACTTAGCAAGGCTCTAAACAACTCAGTGAGACCCTGTCTCAAAATTTAAAAATGAGCTGGAGATGTGGCTCAGTGTTAAGTGTCCTTGGGTTCAATCCCCGGTACAAAAATTTTAAAAAGGATGAACATGTACTGACTGGTTAAGACAGAGTTATAGATGAACTCTACCTTCTAGTCCTTAAAACAAATTTTCTGGCATGGTGGCCCACACCTGTAATCCCAATATTGGGGAGGCTGAGACAGAGGAACAGCAAGTTACAGGCCAGCTTCGACAAATTAGCAAAACCTGTCTCAAAAAATAAAAAGGGGGGCTGGGGATGTGGCTCAAGCGGTAGCGCGCTTGCCTGGAATGCGTGCGGCCCGGGTTCGATCCTCAGCACCACATACAAAGATGTTGTGTCCGCCGACAACTAAAAAATAAATATTAAAAATTAAAAAATAAAAAGATAAAAAGATAAATAAAAAGGCTTGAGGATATAGCTCAATGACAAAGTGCTCCTGAGTGCAACTCCCAGTTGGGGGTAGGGTGGCGATATAAATTTAAATCGCATCTATAGTATTAGAAATTATGTTAAAAAGGATGTGTGTGTGCATATATACATATATACACATATATACCCTATCTCTTCTTTAGATATTTATTTTAACTATCATTAAAATTGGCAAAATATTCTTCCCTATTTAATAGTTACCTATGGGGAACTGACAGTAGTAAGAATAACAGTAAAAGGTTTAACTTAACAAACGCTCTTTCCCCAGTAAGGAGTGACAGGTAACCTTTTAAGAACCCATTGCACACACCCCTTTCTCCAACCCTGCTAAAGTTAAAGGTTAATTTGAGGACAGACAAGTGCTCCTGTGCATCTTCTGCTCCCTGTAGTCCCCCGTTCCCTGCAAAACTCCATCTGCATTTTGCATTAAACCACCCGATCCTGGGTAGGTGAGCCAGGGCCAAGTCTCAGGAAGCTGAGAGTGGGAGGCGAGATCCACGACCCCCTCCATCTGAACCCGCGCCCCCTGACCCGTGGCACACCTGCCCGCGCAGGCGCCCACCTGGGGCAGGGACCGCCCTCTCCCAGGTTCGCGCGCTGCCCCACGCGGAGCGCGCGCCACCCGCAGCTCAGAACCGGAGGGCGGTGCAGGCGGCGGGGCCCCGAGCACAGGAGCCAAAAGCCTGGGAGAAGGGCCGCCGGGGCTCGCTCACTCTCTCTCGGGACCGAGCCGGCAGCAGCGAGCGGGGCACGGGCGCGGTACCTTTTGGACAGATCCATGAGGACCCCGGAGAAGAGCTTCTCTCCGAGGCGGAACGACACGACGAGCGCGTCCTCAATGATGTGGTCCAGAGTGACCCGCACCTCCGAGCCGGGAATCAATTGCGACACCGCGGAGTCCCCGCCCGCGGGCGGCACCAGCGCCGGAGCTGTGGGCTGGGGCAGCGGCGTGTCCTCGCGCTCCTCGGGAGCCGGAAGACACGACGAGCGCGTCCTCAATGATGTGGTCCAGAGTGACCCGCACCTCCAAGCCGGGAATCAATT